ACTCTGGTACATCGACTCTCAATGTGCATGTATATACAGTATATTCCAATGCAAGGGGCAAGTAAACAGTAAACCAGCATAAGGCTGGGTAATATAACAAAATAAACTGTATTAACAAGCAACAAACTGTGTGAACAATGCAAAATAAGCAGTATAAACAGGCAGTAAACAATGCAGACAGACAAGGGGATGTAGTAATGTAGTATGTAGTACACATGCATTGAAATTTGTATAAAATTATTGATACTCTTGAGGATTGCCTAACCATAAAACACAAACTGAAACATCTTCATATAAACTGGTTTGATAGTCTGGACGTACAACCTGAACTTTTAAGTTTTTATTCCATTTAGATGGCAACTTTGTAAAAATACATTTCAAATGTCACTTTGGAATGTTGATTGGAATAAAATGGTACACACTGCTCATCATGTCTTCTGCCAATCCTATTTATATTCTGTCAGAGTAGAATGCCATCTCATACATGTGTTATTGTAAGGTGCTTTTGACATTGCGGTTTCATATTTTGGTCTGCTTTGTTATGTATCAGGGCAAGGCCCATACACTGTACATGTGTGCATACAGATTCTGGCATCACAGATACAGACAATCACACTAACTGTCCCTTACACTTACACTATATGTGCACAGCTGCCTGTAGTATCACGGACACGATATGCTGTAAAAGTTCTTTCAAAAATAAAAAAAACACTAGACAAATCCTCTTGCTAGCCTCACCAGTGACATCAATGATGAGGTGGAAGTGTAACCACATCGATATGCTGGTGCTCCTCCTGAAAGGCCACCCTTCCTTTCCCTCACAATGACAGACAGACCGACATATAGCTGTCGGCTGTCACTTTCCTTGGCTTCCACTGGCTCCACAGTTGGGGGCATTTCAACAAAGTGGAAGCAAGGCCATCAATGTGTCAGTGGCACCAACTGGGTTTTGTTTGTTTGTTTATAAAAGTGCCCCTGGCATCGTCCTTTCCAGCCATTTAATATTTAATCTTGTTTAAGTCAGATTTACTGTAATACATATTTGCTCAGTGGACATAATATAAGAATCATTAACCATTAAATTTACAACTTCCACTTCTACCTGCTATTTCTTAATCACTTATTACCTTTTTCCAGTGTTCATTAAATAACTCCCTTGGATTTTCAGCAAAAAAGATGAGAATTTTTTTTAAAGAAACTGTTCAGATTTGATTCACTCACTATTTAGATTAATTCATTAATTTATTATTCTTATGTATTACACCAATGGTCATGAAAATTTTGACCTAAAAAACATACTTGCAGCTTTAATAATAGTGGTTAAGGTTTGTAAATAAAGGGAACATAAACAAAATATTTTTGACTACAGAACACTTTCTGTCACTTTCTCTGGAGAGAATATTAGCAGTTATTTTTGCACTATTTGTGCACTAACAACCAGGTGGTTTTCATTATGTGAGATGGACCCTCAGGGGCAATCACTTTGCACGGTTTAGACATATTTGAAAGGAATCTCAGCTATTATCTGTCATGATTTTTAAATGGTACCCCAGACATTTATTTGGTTTATGATTACAGCTGTCACAGCCTACATTTGGTGCCTCTTTATCTTGGTTGAAATGACAAAAACTGGCCAAAAACCAGAGCTAATCTTGTCACAGAGACGTCAGAGAGATGACCCAGTTCCTCCTGTTCAATCCTTCTGTCAAAAATTCAGATGTCGGGGGGGAAATGTGTCAGACAAAAAAAAAGAACAACGTTGTTGGCTTACATTGTCTTCACACTAACAATCTAATCACTGAAAAAGTGATACTAATTAAAAGTACAAAAGGGAATTACCATCTCACGCTTTGATTTTGTGACACTCCAGTTTGGCTGGAATTCTGATTCATCTGGATTTCAGCCATTTTAATCCATATTTATGCAGGGACCACCAGATTACAAACTGCAGCTTTGTGGGTGGCTCACTACCAGCCTACAATATCCCATCTCCTGTGAACATCTTATGATTTTACTTTTTATGTAGTTTTACTTGTTTGTGTAGTATTAAAGTTTTAGACATGTGTTGAAAAGCACTGATGGAATATCACAGCTGTCACCACTTGGTTATGGGACATACTCTACAGGCTCTTGGCCATCTGGACAAGATGACAGAAACTGAATATTTTTTAAATCTTGGAATCTGCAGCCTGTAAGTGTTCTGCTCCGTCCTGCCTTGCCTTCTAAGGCGAGAAACTCTAAGAAAAAAACATTTACAGAACAAGGCTAGTGAAAATGAAGGAAAGAAGGAAGAGAAGAGAACAATAAAGTCAAAATAAACACCTGTCATGAATTTCAATGCCAGCTTCCTTTGAAGCTCAAACATGTTTTCCCCCCTCTCCTTACGTGTTTCCCAATTGTTTTTACTTCTCTCTGCTTTCTCTTCATCGACCAAAGCTGAATTGCAGTCCTACATTAATGAGGTGGTTGGCATTTATGCTTACAAGGCTAAATTTGCAACCATTAAACTCTTCCTCTCTTGCTGCATGTGTGCATGTGCAACCCCCCCCAAAAAAACCCACCACTGAGTCAGCGACTAAGATTCTCAGCCTATTGCTCTCTATCTCTCTCTTTTTAGCTCTCCAGGGAGTGCGGGGTGTGAGAATTAGTTTCCACATGTTGTGGGTATTTTTGCGTCGACAGTTTGGGGCTACGGAAAGCAGAGAGCGGCAATGATAGGCTTGTGGTCTCTATGTACGTGTGTGTGTGTGTGGGGGGGGTGCATGAGATAAACAAGCTTGCCAATTTCATACACAGACACACACATAAGCAGTAATCAGCGGCCGCTGTCTATTGAATTCAGTTATGTGATACAGGTCAGTTTTGTGAAAGACCTGTTTATGGCAAATTTCATCCAAAATAAATGTGAAACCTTCAAAGCTGTTAAGCAGTGAAATTTTATTCCAGTGATGTGTCTGCAAAAGAAAAACAAAATTCACAATACACTGCTGTAGGCTGTGGCATACTAGGTCATTGATCTTGTAATGTAAGGAATAGTAAAGAATAGTGAGAGTATAGAGTCATTTACACAAATAAATGGTGTCTCTCTAGGAATCACATCCATTGGACAGCTCAGTGCCTCACTCACAATTTATACCCCGTTCCAATTTTCAGTGCTAGAACAAAGGAAGAAGTGTGTACTTTGTGTAGCAAAGAGGAAATCAGGGTATGGAAGTTAGCTGGTGAACTGGAGTACAGCTAGTCCCTGTCATGGAGAGGACAAAAATATAGAGACATCTCTGAATATAATGTAGTCCAGTACAACACCACCTCTAACTATGACCTCAATAATAAACGTATATTTGAATTTATATATTTATGACCATTTAGCTAAAAACGCAAACATTTTGAGCTTCATAAACACAATCGTTAAGGCGGTGTGCGTTAAGGCCTTAAGTGTTGCGTTAAATTTCAAACAACTGTACAGGTGTACCTAATAAAGTGGCCGGAGAGTGTATACTTTGTTACTGTGTGCGCATGTGGAAGGAAATGTTTGTACATTCATTCTAGTCAGATGGAAGGTAGAGACAGGAGTGGACAGAGCAGAGAATGCTTCATTAAAGCACTATACTTAATTCTGTAATTATGCAAGCAGCTAACAAAAAAACATTGCATTACCATGGGCACTTTTTCCCCTGGTCTCTTATCATACACTGTAATGGTGTCAGAAACCTCTGTACCATTAACAATATTGTTCCTGAGTTTCATGATGAGAAGCTCTATGATGGTATCTCAGGATAAAACAGAGACAGCATCAGGCTGTCCTTACAATCCAGCATTGTCATGAGACAATGAGAGTCCTACTCTGACTTTGTCTCAGTTTCAAACAGCGCATGTGTGTGAAAGAGAGAAAGAGGGATGGAAAGGGAGAGAGCGCATTTGTCTGCATTTAATATTTGGATGCTCTTTTGTCTTGAACTTCTTTTGTGCTCTTGGGCCAGTCACCCAGACATAACTGCATTGAAGCACTGCTCAGTAGCCAACACAGACACACCCACACAGGCTTCATAAAATTAAAAATAAAGTCACCAGAGCAAACCTGTGTGACATTTAACTTCTCCTGTGGCCCAGTATATACAGTGACTAATTCTATGAGAATTCGCTTCAACAATAGAAACTTGATATTACAGTAGCACATGGACTTTAGCTTAATTTTCAGCAATGCTTTATTTTACAGGTTTACTATTTCCAAATAATTTCTTGAACTTTTTCTGTAAAGAACCAAGTAGTTTGGCATTAATTACAGAAAAACAGAGACAAAGATCTGAGACTGAATTTATTTATTTATTTATTTGGGATGTGGATGTGGTCACTTTCTGTTCTCTGAATAAAAGCATCAAGTTTGTGCTAGCTTAGCATTTCGAAATAAGTGGAAGTGTACCATGGAATCACTCTAGTTTACCTATAAATAGTTCCAAATTATGTGCTTCTATCCAGGAAACGTTTTATGAAATTATTTTGAAATAAATTGGAATGTACAGACCTGTCAAATAAAGTGCTACCAAATTTTCTCTAGGTTAGAATTTAACATTATTCAAATTGAATGTAAACATAAATTGATCTTTTTAAACAATCTTTTCAGTTCTGTTTGCCTCTGATTCTCAAATCCTAGGCCACTGTCACAAATCGGTTCTGTTGCTTCCTGTCAGGCTTTTATTTTGATGTTATTTCCTGTTTTTGTTTCACCTTAGTTTTGGTCTTTTTACGTTCTTCATCACTCACATTGGTTTCACCTGTTTCGTTATTGTGTGCACCTCTACTTAGGCAGCGTCCTCCCACCAGGACGCTGCCAGATTGTTCTAGACTCCAGCTCTGACTCTCCAGCATTTATACCTTGCCTGATTCTCTGTTTCTGACCTTGGATTACTGTTTTTGACCACCGTGTTTTGCCTATGCCCTTCCAGTTTCTGATTGCCTGCAGTGTACCGACCTTCTGAGTTATTCCCCTTGACCTCTCGAGTTTGGATCTCCTGGCTATACCTGTCTACCGGCGTTGACCCTGGACTGTCTTATCGACCTGATTGTGTATCCCGGACTGTGTATTGATTGTCTAGTTGCTACAAGTAAAAACCTTCAGCTAAATCAGTTCATCTGGTTTTATAATTGAGTCCACCACAAACACCATTTGGCGTTCTTACACGTCAAATCTGACAGGCCACACTAGATTCTCACTCTGGAAACACACTGAAATTCCAAGGTCAGGCCCGGAGTAACAGATATGTTTTTTTAAAGCAAACACAGCAGCAGGTTCCTTGTTTTCACATCATGCTCTTTATAGCCTTATCTCTCTTTTCTTGTGGCGGTCAGTCAGCATGTCATTTGGTGCTCCTTGCTCAAGGGTGAGTGGACAACTATCCTACAGTAGATGAGATACACAGCCAGATGTCAAACTAATAAAATGACTCCTGGTTGAGTCTTTTTCTCCAGTGATTGAATATGATTGTTAGAACACAAAATACTTACATTTCACCATGCAAGGTAGGAGCTGTTGTCACAACATTTTGATTTTGAGTACATACAGTATAAACAATTCTCCAGCCATGTCAGACTATTTTCCCCTTCTGCTGTACAATCTGAATCTGTCTGTGTGGAACATGAGGCCATTAAGACCAAGTCAAATCTTTATGTCCACATAAAGGAAGTCTCAAGACAGGCAGTCACAGGAAGTCATGTTGATGGGCCGGTCAGCACTTGAGACGGATAGACGTGAAAACAGGCAGACAGTCAGCCAAATAGGCAGGTCATCAGGTAGAGAGACTGGCAGGCAGGTGGTCTGATTGGCAGGCAGCCAGGCAGTGATGAGAGTGGACAGCAAGAAAGGCATAGCAGCATTCAGACATCCTGACGCCCAAGCAGCCAGGCAGACTGACAGGCAGACAGACAGACAGACAGATAAGGAATTATTTGACTGTGCCTTCTACCGTCACTTGCAGTTCACAAAAGATTCAGGCAGGTGGCATGAGGTATGTCATGGAAACCCTTGATGACAAGCAGCGAATGGGTAATGGTAGGTTTCAAAAGGTGACAGCTATAAGGGAGGAAAGCTTTAAACAGACTTTTAAACCGTTAGCTTTTTGACTCTGGCTATAGCCTTATAGTATTCAGAAAATTGTTACTTTCATTAGATGCTAAATTTATAAATAAAATGTGACTACAACTGTAATTTATATGATTAAAGAAGTACTGATTGGACCTTTTACTTGGGCCTCTCATAGCCATTTTTTGTTCAAGTAATCGTGTGTTATGCTGTATGTTACAAGAAACCAACTGCAGCATGCAACATCCTAATCTTTAGGATGAATAAAGTACTTGTGGTAGTTTTACTATTATGTAAATGACTGACCTCCCTCTGCAGTACAGACTGTATGGGTGTGTTTCCTGTCTCTTCACTTTTCAGGGTGTGGCTTTGGTCGAGTGGTACTGACAGCCGTTTCCTCCCTTTGCTGGTTGCAGTGCTGTTTGCTGTTCATGATGACAGAGAGGTCACTGATGGCGCTTCAGCATGGAGTGATGACCTTAGAATGTCACTGATGACATTGCGGACTTAAATGCATGTCAGCGTGTCCAGATATCTCAGTCAAACAATTTGACTGCGATTTTACTTTCCCGAAGTGGCGCATCTACACATATTTGCAACAATTGTATGTCTTTGTGACATACGGCCTTTTGTTTTGGCATGATACTTGTCAAATCACAACCCAAACAGATCAATGCCCAATTTTTGCTTTGTCACACAGCGGAAATTCTAACTAGTGATCTATTAGCCCCAAAGTCTAATCTACAGGCTACTGCAGCTTCACTGGAACAAACTCTGGCCAACCTGTGTCATATGAGCTGAATGAAGGGTTTGTAGTGGCCTTATGTCAGTCGGTCTGACATTAGCTGACAGGCTGAAGGGGTGAATGATGGCTTTTCATAAAGATGAATGGCAATTTTACAGCCCACAGCTTCTCCCAACCACTCTTCTCTAAACTCCCATTCACAACTTGTGTATGAGTTATGTATGGGCTAAGGTAGGTTATTGGAACTGGTTCATAAACTGACAGAGTAAATCATTTGAATGGGATGACCCCAACAACTGCTTGTAATTATAATGTCCCAAAGTATTTGTTTCTAAACATATGCGTTTACTCATATTACATTTCTGATTGTGTTAGTACACGTGTGTATAGTATTATGAGTGTAGGACATGACCTGGGACACACTGAAATAAGATGGTGACAACAGCACAGATGAATGTACATGTATTTCCTATATTCCCAGATGATAACAGCCTGCCTTGAGCTAAGCCACTTAGCCTGTTCTAATCTACACATTAAATGGTAAATATCAACAGGGCTTGCAAAAGCAATAAATGTTTACCCGTCCAATGATAGAACAGCATAATATTAGAAATAATCCTAAAGATCAGTGGAGTCTGGAGACCACTGCAGCTTTCATGGGCCCACCTACAGGAAAAAAAAAACTTTCATCTATCAATACAGAACCCACCCCACGCATAGTATCTCATCTAAAGCTCCCTATAAAACTATAAAAATGCTCATGATTTAGGAGTCTAATAAAGTGACATTGGTTTTAGCTCCCCCACCCCCACCCTTTCTCCACTGCTAAAGGATCTCCTGATGAAATGTGAAGTCTTAATATAGTCTGAGACAACATCTCCTTTCTCACTCACATTTTGGGTATTCTCTCTATAAGGTTATTCTGCTTGCCTGTAAACATCAGCACCAGTGTTAAGACATGTATACTACTCACCTAAAATCATGCCTTTAATGTGATGATGGCATAGTGGCAGTATTTAGATTGTGTGTTGTTACGAGGGACACAGAAAGACTGAAACTTTCCGCTGCGATCAGCCGTCTCCAGATCAGCCATAACTGGATATCGTGATGGTGCCTCAGTCGCACTTGTGAGATTCTGGCTTGGCTTGCTTCTCACAACACGGGCTTGTGTTGCCCGCTGGAGGCGAGGCGAGGGAAGGCACACAAACGGAAGGAAAAGATGAAGCGCTCAGTATCCCACCCCCCCTCCCCCCTCCCCCGAGCTCACTGTGGATAGTCGCGGCCACCCTCTTCGTCTTCATAGCAGAGAGAGGAGGTGTTGGCAGGGCGAGGGATGCCAACTCGTTTTGCTCGCCCATCTGCAGATGAGTAAATTACCCACAATAAAAGGAACGGAGTATATGAATATTGTGATTATTGTCACATAAATCTCGATAATAAAATATTAAAAAACCTAATAGAGAGAGTTGTCTTGCGCCCTGGCTGTCATCCACAGGTCTGGCAGTCTCACTCACCCCGCACGGCGCGCTCCCTGACTCTTATTTATTTATTTTCCCTTAATGCGCGCCCCCGCTGCGAGATCCAGAGCGCTCTTCATTCTCTGCTCCCTTCACTTCGTTTCCTCTCCTTCTCTCGACACCATCCAGAACTATAGCGCAACCGTCCCCATCACTCTTTTTTTTCCTCCCCTCCTCCTCTTCTTTCTCTCACCGCCAGATCTTTCTCCTCTGCGTCTCTCGCCCCTTCGTCTCCCCCTCTTCCTCCCCACTCGGTCCCTCACTCCTCTGACGCACGACAGGGAAACGGACCCGAGGAAAGAAAGGGGAAAAAAAAGCAGCAGCTGACCCAACCGTCGATATGATCCACAGACTCTGGCTATTGCTGCACCGGACAGAGACACGGTCCTGAACACCAGAGGAGAACACTCTCACCCGGCTACACTGTTGTTGAGCGCTCGCCCGGGAGGCAGTGGCGGAGGGGGAGGAGGAGAGGAGAGGAAGAGGAAGCGGACGGGCACAAGTCGAGGACTTGCATTTTAAGCAAACTGCTTAGGAAAAATAAAGAAGGGGATAGAGTGAGAGTCACTGGAGAGCGAGAGAGATTGCATTCTTATCACGTCTTCATTTCTCCTCTCTTTTGCCTCAGCTACTGTGGGAGGGCGAGAGAGGGGTAGAGAAAGAGAACGATCAGGAGAGAGATCTAACAAGATTCAAACTAGTGGTCTTTCCCCCGATGCTTTCCAATTGCAGTGCGAAACTAAGGTGAGTGTTTGAACGAGTGGTTATTCTGTGCATGAGTGTATCATAAGGTAAATCTTATGCAGCTGTGTGCATGCGTGGGTGTGTGTGTGTGTGTTGTTATGTTTATTGCTGTCTGCATAGGCACGGACTTCAAAAAAGGAAAATAAGCGCTCTCTGTATATCGAGGATAACAGATCTTAGGGCTCCAATTCACTGATCAGTAGCTGTTTGTTCTTTATTCACCGTTTTCATGCCAATGTCACGACGAAAAGCTACTGCATTATGCTTGGCTTGTATTTCAATAAGCGCCGTGCTCTCTCTCCGCTGTATTGACAGCAAGGTTATTTTGGGGAAAATTTCAGTCAATGCTAGAAGGATTCCCAACCGCTTTAGTTAGAGTTTGTTAGACATCATTGTTTCTCACTAACTTAGTTTAATATAAATTCAAGATTAAAATCTTTTAATAGGTCGTTTTGAAAATGCCACTCACGATGACAGCACTTTTAATTTATGTAAGTAAAGGGCTTTGGAGAACCTCCCCAACCTGGTTTTGCATCCGTGGCTCATTCATATGTGCATCTCTTCCTCTCTCCCTCCTCGGTGCTTTGCTCTCTCTTTCCATCTCTCCCTCTCCGGCTCGATCACCCCAATTTCTCGTTCTCTTTCTCACAGCCCGGCATCGGACTGTCAACGATACGCACCGCGCAACAACGGGACCCACCGCAGGAGGATATGTGAAGTTGGAATCCCACGAAACTAAGTACGTATACTTCCCTATTTGATACATCCCAGTGGAATATAATATGGCACGAATTATTTTTAATTGCTTTAAATATCGTTGTTACTTTATTGACATCGCATTTAAGCTTTTTGATCCCTGTCATGGCAACGGAATGAATAAATCCTGGAGGATTACACATGGAAAGGGAAAGGAAAACTGAATTTTGCAGTGAGTGGATCGTGTTCACGGATCTTTTATCTTTTTTTCTTGGGGCATTTTCCTGTCACGTCTTTTTTGGGATTACACCATGGCCTGTTTTTTATTTCTTCCCTTCTCTTTTTTTCCTGTCCCTGGGTTTTTGGTTTCAGCACCATGGACAGCGGCTCTGCTCCGGCAGGCGGTTCCAGCGCATCTGGATTTTCAGCTCCGCCGTTTGAAAGGACAGCGCTTTGTGTGCGTGTGTGTGTGCGTGTGAAAAGTCACAGCCTACAGAAAAGATATTCAGAGGATATGTGCATTGTTTGTGTGCATGTGTGTGTCTGACTTTTACCAACTGACAGAGATACTGAACGGAATCTTTTTTTTTTGTCAAAGGCAGTTTTTATTATTATTATGCTAATTATTATTATTACTATTACTTTTTGTTATATTTTCTTTTTTTATATATTATTATTTATTTCTAGGGCAGCAGAAACATAAACACAGTTGTGTGACTGAGCTTCTCGAAGCAGCAGCTTTGCCCATTGCGCTTTTTACTTCTGCCGTCTCTCCTGAAATCCTCGGTGGGATCACCAAATGGGAAAGGCAACAGAAGTTGCATTGATTTAGGTTTGGACTAACGACAGGCTCAATTACAATGAATGAGTTGACAGTTTTCCCTGTTCACTGGGTTTAGATGTGACGCGTTTCACCCAAGAAGATGCCAAGGGCAAATAACCCAGGCTCTGCCGTTTTCTGCAGTCTCTGATGGACTGCGCCCCCCATTTATGACATGTTTTGACATCATTACACTGGTAAATTGAAACCTGGCGTTTCTGTAGCCTTAGTGTCACAGTTTACATAACATTTAACTGTTTATTTTATCAGGTTGTCTGGAGTCCTATTCTGTATAAATACATTGAGATTCATTTATGCATGATAGATGTTGAGCACATCCTTCAACGACTCTCATCTCATCCCACCACTGCTCACCAAGCAGACACCTATTCCTTTCCCGTCCTGACTAAGACCTTCTGCACACCTAATGAAATTTCCACTGTGCTTTTCCGGCCTGTCATTCACTGAAGAAGGGCTTAAGGTCCCTCTTATGTAATAAATAATGTTGGGGGCGGTCTCTCTTTTGCCACTGACCTCACCCACCTGCTCTGCCTTCGTTTGTTCACAGCAATAAGCATCTTTGAGGTGATTTATTGTGACCTTACCAGCATATCTGCTGTACAGTAAATTACATTTTGCTTATATAGTGAGGGCAAATGTTTGTCGAGATTTGTATGTATTACTGGATATACTATTACCTTTCCAAGAGCGCTCTTCTTATATTTAGTTTGAAATACCCAGCAATGCTGCAACATCTAAAGTAGTCTCCAGTGTCACTCTATTATTCATTGGTATTCATTTCAAATCTGTCTTCCATTCCACTGAAACTAATGCACATATCCTTTCCTCTCTTCCTCCTTTCTGCCTGCCTCTCTCACCTCCAACTTCACTTTGTGAGGGTGTGTGTGTGTTTGTACTGTGTGTGTAATAACTATCCCCATTCCCTTTCCACTCTCTGTTTCTCTGTTCTCTGTTGCAGTACTGTGAAGTGGCTCTGTCCCTGGAGCCAAGACTTCATCCTCCTGGTGTCAGCAAGGATGCTGTGGGTTACCTTGCTGAGCACCATAGCTTTAGGATGGACCACCCCTATCCCACTACTAGAGGACTCCGAGGAGATCGACGAGCCCTGCTTCGAGCCCTGTTACTGCGAAGTCAAAGAGGGTATCTTCCATGTCCACTGTGACAGTAAAGGATTTACAAATGTCAGCCAGATTTCCCAGATATGGAGCCGGCCCTTCAAACTCAACTTGCAGAGAAACTCCATGAGGAAGCTTTACTTTAACAGCTTCCTCCATCTTAACAATGCCATATCCATTAATCTTGGTAATAATGCCTTGCAAGACATCCATGCTGGAGCATTCAATGGCTTGGGAATACTGAAACGGCTGTTCCTACATGAAAACAAACTAGAAGTTTTCCGGAATGACACTTTTCTTGGGTTGGAGAGTTTAGAGTATCTCCAGGCAGACTATAATGTTATCAAAAGGATTGAAAGTGGTGCATTCAGGCACCTTCACAAATTGAGAGTGCTCATACTAAATGACAATCTGATCCCTGTGCTCCCAAATTATCTTTTCCGGTCTGTGTCACTCACACATCTGGACTTGAGAGGAAACAGATTAAAGACACTGCCATATAAGGGCATGCTGGAGTTTGTTGGGAGGAGCTTAATGGAAATCCAGCTGGAGGAGAACCCCTGGAACTGTGTGTGTGAGATTGTCCAGTTAAAAACATGGCTGGAAAGAATCCCTTATACAGCTTTGGTGGGTGAGATCACATGTGAGTACCCATTCCACTTGCATGGAAAAGATTTACGGGAAATCAAGCGCACTGAGCTTTGTCCATTGCTCTCCGATGCAGAGATTGAGGCCAAGCTGGGAATTCCTCGGATCCCATTCAGCAATGAGAACACTTGGCCTACTAAACCATCCTCAATGCTCTCATCCTTTCACAACACAGCGTCCTCTGTGGAATACAAGGAAAGAGTTGTCAAGCCTACCAAACGACCTCGGCCCACAAAGAACCCCCCAACCCCTCGTAGCATCTATCCAGGCATCAACCAGCCCCCCATTGCTGGTTACCAAACAAGGCCTCCCATCCCAATAATTTGTCCAGCTGGATGTATTTGCAACCTTCACATCAATGACCTAGGGCTAACAGTGAACTGTAAAGAGAAAGGTTTTCATAATATTTCTGAGCTCTTGCCGCGGCCCCTCAATGCCAAGAAACTATATCTCAGTGGAAACCTCATACAGAAAATCTACCGCTCCGATTTCTGGAACTTCTCCAGCTTGGATTTACTGCATTTAGGGAATAATCGTATATCCTATGTCCAGGAGGGCGCCTTTATCAACCTGCCAAACTTGAAAAGCTTATATCTGAATGGGAATGACATTGAAAGACTCATCCCTGGCATGTTTCGTGGGCTGCAAATGTTGAGTTATCTTTACTTTGAGTATAATGTCATACGTGACATACAGCCTAACTCCTTTTCACTAATGCCAAATCTCCAGCTGGTTTTCCTCAATGACAATCTGTTACGCTCCCTCCCCACTGATGCCTTTGCTGGCACCAACCTTGCACGTCTCAACCTCCGCAACAACTACTTCCTTTCTCTTCCCGTGCGTGGCGTTCTAGAGCATTTGACCTCCATTGTCCAGATTGATCTCCATCAAAACCCCTGGGACTGTTCCTGTGATATCATCCCCCTTAAACAGTGGCTGGAAAAGCTCTCCTCTGTCATTGTGGTTGGAGATGTCATTTGCAAAACACCTGAGTTTGCTTTTGGGAAAGATCTGCGTTCACTGGAGGGTGAGGTCATTTGTCCAGAGCTTAAGCATTCTTCAGGCCCCTCGCCAGCCCTGCCTGGTGGGAATGACCTCACCACTGGGAGCTCTGATATGGGGGAGGCAGGTGGAAGAGGAGCTGTCCCACTTTCTGTCCTCATTCTCAGCTTACTGATCCTCGTCATCTCTGCTGTTTTTGTGGCTGCTGGGCTTTTTGCCTTTGTTCTTCGTCGCAGAAAGAAGCTGCCCTTTCGGAAACGCTCTGAGGTAGACCTTACAGGGATCCAGATGCAGTGCAGAATTTTTGAGGACCCACCGAGGCAGAGTAGTGCTGGTAACACTGGCACGCCAGAGAAACCAACACAGACTATGCACACACACACTCACACTAATCACACACACGGCCACAGCCACGTTTATGATTATATTCCTCACCCTGTGACTCAGATGTGTAACAACCCCATCTATAAGCCTAGAGAGGGGGAGATAGCAGAGGAAGACAGAGCACAGTTTTCAGAGAAGAAAGACAATGGCAGCAGTAGCAACAGTAACTACAGAACCTTGTTAGAGAAAGAGAGAGAGTGGACCCTGGCTGTCTCCAACTCTCAACTCAACACCATCGTCACAGCCAACCACACCACGGCTGACATGACAGGATTTCATGAGAATGGAGGGCTCTGCCCAACAGTGATTGACAGTCAGAGGCCCACACCAACAGTGGGCTTTGTAGACTGTTTGTATGGGACAGTACCAAAACTAAAGGACATGCATGTGGCGCATGCGCATCCACCTGGCATGCAGTACCCAGATTTGCAGCAGGATGCACGGCTGAAGGAGACATTGCTTTTCACGGCGGGAAAAAGCTGCTACCCTGACCCGTCCCAAAGCGATTACCTCGAGTTAAGGGCCAAACTTCAAGCCAAGCCAGATTACCTCGAAGTCTTGGAAAAATCTTACCGATTTTAACATCTGTATCCCATGGAGAAAAAGAAAAACACTAAACACAAATCCAACATAATTCACATTACCACCTGCAAAACAAAAGCAACCCAAACCAATATTTAAAAAAAACTTGAAAAAGCAGCATGATATAGAATAAAATATGATATTACAGTTACAATGTTTCCCCCCCAAATCACTTTGGAGGAGAGGCCATTCTCAGATATTTCAATGAAGTGCCTTTTTTCAGAGTAGCCAGCAATGTCAACAGCCGTTATTTTTATAATAGATATAAATATCTCTATTTGCCCAAGGGAGAGCAAAAGAGGAACAAGAAGGGCACTGGGGGATTAGAACATACATAACATCCTAAAATACAGCTGTCACTAAAACCCCTTTTTATGGAGTTACCATGACAAGCAAGACACACGGGAGCTGGACGTCTCCCTGACTTGGGGTTTTCTTTCTGTCTCTTACCCCTGACTAGGATGTACAAAACCCAGAGTCCGTGCACATAAAGTTAATAGGAAATGATCGAAAGAGGGAAAAATGAAATATATTAAAATGAACTGCAGTTTGCTGCATGCACTCGCTTCAGTGCAGGAAGCGAGGGGATTTATTCAGAACTATCATGTCACATTATGAACAGAGATACTGCAATGCATTTACAGTTCAGTGTTCTATTTAATTTTTATATCTTATTAATATGGTTATTACTATTAATGAGGACTTCTGTCTATATCAGGGTGCTTCTCGTAAAAAGGACGCGCCAGCGTACGGATGGTAAAACATTTGTGAATATTATTATAAGACAATGCTCAAGGTTTTCTGAATATCTCCACGCACTTTGTTAACCCCCACCCCCACCACCCCACCCTCCCAAAGCTCCTCATTGCTTCTGGATTCCCCATTGTCACCCACTAACAGCTTTGTAGGAGGCACTTTTAATGTTTTCTCTCTCACAAAGATTTGAAGAAAAATGTGCATATATTTATTCTGTAATTTCAGTGAAGAATTTAATTGTAAAGGTAATGTTAAATCAATGTATAGTGATTATGCGTCTGGTATAGCCTTCTTAATAAAAACAAACTCTTCAATCACATGATAAAAGAGTTGATGCCACGGGAACCTGTGTTTGGAGCACTGCTGACAGGCTGTGTATTTGGTGTCTTGTTAAAATGACATGTCGAAGCTGTGATCAGCCATCAAGGGATAATGCTGCTAAACAGGAATGTAGTGCAGGGCAATAGTAGGAAAACTCAGTTTAGCTTCATATTATGTTTTATTATGATTAGTAGCAAATTAATTTCAGTTATGGGGAAAGAATCTATAAAAAGGCTAATATTTTTTCTGAAAAATATCATATTTTTTCTGTCTATTGGTAGCCTTTGTCCTATGATCTTTACCTGCTGGATGTCGCAGTGTGTAATTGCTGTTTGCCACTACATTACTCATCCTAGTTGGAGATGGTCAAAAGGCAAAAGATATATCAAACAAAATGCCAGAACAAGTCAAGTGAATGTCGCTGGCTATGAAGTGGATGATAAGAGAGAAGACAGCAAATCAGTGAGGCACGCTGTGATTTTCATTATCTAAACGGGCATTGCTGATGTAGACTAATAAAAAGTAATTGAGAGGGTGAGTGAAAATGTGATTGGAAGTAGCTCTGAATTTGTGCATTTAATTTCTGATTTTCTCCACAATAGTAATGTGGTTTCAGTCCACCTGGGGGCGATAAAAGGCATTCAGATCCTTTGGGGATTTAATAGTAGTTATAATTGACTAGTTGCTAATCTAGCTAATTGTTTTCAGAATGTCTAAATATAAAATCTACATGTGTATAATATTAACATTTTTAGTGCAGTTTCATGCTTTTTTCTCTTCTATTTTTTGTTTTCTATCAGTTTTTTTGAAAGTGGAAGAATAAAGCATGAAGCTGGATCAAGAAAACAAAACATAATATTTTTAAAAACAGAAAACAATCTCAGAAGAGCTGATAATTTATTTTACATAGTGGTTTTGTTCAAGATTGTTGTGTACATTTCATTTTGTGCAATGGAATCCTTTGTGGCAAATTTATTCCCAATAGTCTCCTCCACATTTAATCATAATCACTTAACTTTATGCAGTGGCATCTATCATAGTCCATATTTTTCATAGCCTGATTCTGTTTTCAGACCAAATAGTGCAAGAATTAAAACAACAAACAAACAAAAAACAGCTGTGGAGTAAATATGGTGTTACAGTACACATCATCACTTTTAGTTTAGGAAAATTATGATGCAATTTTGATGTCTATAATTCTGTGAATATCTTTGGAAAGGAGGCTGCGTTTCTGGTTTGTTTTAAAATGGGCATGTTACCCAGTTAGTTTTTATTTTAGTAGGTTTAATTGGGGTGGTGATCCTTAGTTGAAATCGGGTGTTACAGCTTCTCATATGTGCCAGCTTATACTAAGTGGAAGATATGTAGCAAACCACAAACTTCATTGTTGAATGGGAAGGCCCTTAGCTATAGAACAGTCATCTTCACTATAGTTCCTCACTGATCTAGTCTATACATTTACATAATATGGAATACCTACTGTATGCATTGTCTCATTTTTTTGACAATTATTGTTGCTCAAATGAGTGGAGGTAACCTTTCATATAGCGCCTTTGTAAGCATGGTAGCATTTCGCCAAGGCTTTATGTTTTCTTCTCAGTTTGACGTCCCACCTCATTTCCCTGCTGTTTTTTACTTTATCACTTTAACCCTAACACATGTATACAGATATATACATACAAATAGACGCACATAATGCCTTCTTTTTCCTGACCAAGTGGTTAGACTATATGTTCAGCATTTTCAGTATGTTTTGTGATCACTGATGATTTTGCTGTAGGCCCATAGCTTGGTAACCTCTTATTCCCTATCCCTCATCACACACTCACCATAATATTTCACAAATGAGTGCTGGCCTTTGTCCCATTATAACATGCTGAGTTGTTTTGTCCCAATAAATCCTCTTGTCATCCTACACTTATATCTCCAAGTGATTTCATACTTCAGGGAATGTCAGATAAAGGCAACTGACAGAGGTGACGGTTCACTAAATGTTTCTTTGTGTGTGTGTAAAATATAAATATGCAATGCTTGTTTGAATTATGGCGGTAATATTTTAATTTAATCTTTCTATCAACATCCCTCTTGAAGTTTCTGCGATGGTAAGACATCAACAGGGTAAATGCAGAGTGTGTCTTTCTTATCGTTCTTGATTTTCTCTGTGTCTTTGTCACTACACCTATATGTTTTAAAATGGTTTTAGTGCACTCCTTTCTCTTTGGCCTAATGCTGTGTTGTGATTTTTTTTCCCACTCGGCTTTGACTGGGGTTACAGCTTCCATCATACATAAGTCTGGGTTCCGTCAACTTCAATCTTCAATCTTACTTTCAACCATTTTAATCAATTTCAAACGCACGCTTGTTGAAAGAGCGATGTGCTGAAAATGTCTTTGGACACATGAAGCTTTAATTTATCTCCATTTGAAATTCTTTAGACTGTCCTTAAACTGCTGTGGGCACGATGTCTATCTTTCAAATGTCCTCACCCATCGATTATTACAACATACAGTATTTTAATTCGCTGGGTCATGGATCTCCCTGACCTTATTCAGATATGTTTTAGTGCTGGATAGATGACGGCTGATGGATTGTTCACTGGTACAGTTACACTGATCAAGTAATGCAAAAAACATTGACTCTGTCGTGCTGTAAATGTTCTGCATTGCTTTCTTCTTGAGTCGGTTTTGTTCTCTTTGCATCTGAATGCTTGGCACATGTTCCCTCAGGCATTTATCTGAGCAGTGCATGGTTATTAATGCACACATAATTCTTTATCAAGCAGCTGATTTAAACCTAAACCATGACATAGCTGTTTCAAATTAGCACGAGTAAGAACTATATCACAAGCCTATTAGAAAAGCTTCTGTAGGCTTCTCACACAGCTCAGAATCCGCTCTAGCAAATGGTTGGCAGTAAAGAGAAGGGAGTATTTTTGTGCTGAGTGGAGGTGGTAACCTGGATTTGACTGTATGGATTACATGTACACTTTTTAGGTGGTCCCCGGGGATTTGGTTTGATGTGTGATGCTGTGTTGTTCTTCCTCCTCTTCTCTGGCATTTTTGGCCAGGGTGTTTTTTGTGCCGCTAGTTGTTGTTTGGCTGGTATGTGCCTGCACTTTCTAATGGAATAAACATAAACCTATGTCTGTGTGTGCGCAATAAGAGGGAGAGGGATGGATGGACACAGACAGATAGATAGGTATTGTTTTTATCTGTTCTATCAGTGTTTGTGTGTTGATGAGTATTTGAGTCTTAATTAACCCAGACACGATTTGGAATGGTGGCACAAAATAAATAACTAGAGGAATTAAAAAAAAAACAGGAGGAAAGGATCAGTTTGAGAGCACTATTGATGGAAGTGGGAGCACAAGCGGCTTAGAGAAGGGTGAGAGAACTTGGAGCCATCATTAGAATGAATGTGCCACTTAGAGAAAGTAGGGATTCTTCTTACTCTTTTGTCCCTGAAAGAAGCCATAATTGTCCAATTAACCAGAGTCCAAAGCAGAGAGAGGGTGTTATGAAGGGACTGAAAGAGGACCGCGACCACTTACATTTTACATTATGTGTGTTTGTGTGTGTGTGTGTGTGGTGGGTGATGTGCTTTCTTTGTTTGGAAACAGGGAATTATCTCCAATTTGCTGAAAAAGCCAATCTGTCTTTGACTATGATGCTGAAGTTGCAGTGTACTGCAGGTGCTGCATACAAAAAGGCATGTTCTACTTTTTGCGCATGCATGTGTATTTGTGTGTAGTAGTGAACGTAGGGAAGGTTCACTTACGGTACCCGTGTTGTGCATTTGTTTTGGAGCTTATTTGAATTTTATGTGTTGATGGCTGATTTTCATTTCTGGTGTCATAAAATGCAGTGGATTTACCTGAGCTAGATCATAGATGTGCTTATTTGAAAGGAGAGTGCAGTTTTTCCACTATATATATGCTACTGGTGTTACACCGCACCAGTTTGATAACAGAATGGTGACAGGGACAATCTGCAGAGAGAAGTGCCACACTTTGGCCTCACTGTTATTGAAATGGTCCAAACATTTCTAAAAAGTATATAAGATATATAACAACAGAGAAATGAAAGAAAGAAAGCCCCAAAAGAGAAAAGAGAACCTCCTCCAATTTGTACAGTTTCCTATAGTCTTGAGATCATAAAAAAAAAATCCTTTAATACATCAATCATCTGTGCTGCAGTGCAGGAGCTCGACTGACCCAGTATGTTGAATGAGAGACAGCGTGAGAGGGAGGTGGCAGATGAGAGTACAGTAAGAGGGGTATAGAAAGCGATACAGAAAAACTGTGTGGTGAGAGAGAGAAAGCGTGATTCTTGACCCACTGCTACTTCTGCTGCCGTCTGCGCTGTAAAGACCTGCATTGTTTGCCTAGTGAATTGTGGGTCTCCTGAGAATGTGGCCCTCTCTCGTTTCTGAAAATACTGCAAGTTTGGGAAAAGTTGCAGTCATTTGTGCAGCTCAGCAGTGTGCTAGAATCTCAGTTTCTGTATGTAAGAAAGATTAGCAATCTGTGTCGTTATCACTCATTTCTGGGAAAGGGCGGGGAGAACAGAAGGCATGATTTCATAAAATAAAATATGGAGCACGGTGTCCCTAGCTGGTGTTCTGTCTGTGTCCTGCAGTGTGGGGCCTACTTTGAGCTTTGGAGTTACCTGTAGTGAATTTCCCGAGGACACTTCTTTCTGATTTCCATGTAGAGTGAGCTTGGTCACTTATTATTTGTCCATGCAACCACAAGGCAACATTTGCACATAATCATTTACATCAACATCCTCCCCTGACTCTTAGTTGTGTATTCATATTTTTTGCTTTCAATTTCAAGTTGTTCTCTTCTTAACTATCTTGCTTTACACTTTTTCCATTTATTTTTCTATCCTTGTCCCTGCATGTACATCCACCCATTCATAGATCTCTCACTTAGTACTCAGACGGCCAACCTGACCTTGCTGTGTGTTGTGCTCAGCTGGGTGACGGTCCACTGACCCTAGTTTGGTTCAGTCAGGTATTCAGCGCTTCGCTTTACCTGACGTGGTACAACTGCTTTTGCAACTAGTCTCCAAGGATAAGGCTGTGTACATGTGTCCATCAGTCTGTGTGTGCTAGCCAGGTGCGTTGCTTTTTAGTGAGAGCTCCATCACATCTACAAGTGACCTGAGAGAATGGGCCAAATTGGTTGAAATAAGAGTCTGATAAGCATTTCATGTGCACACCCAAGGTATTGAGTTGGTGTTAAAAAGCTGCTATTTGTTTTGGAGGCATTTGCTGTGCTCCTGGCAAATTAAATCAAAACTTCCTTAAAACAAGCGACCCTATAGGCTGTGTGTTCACGCAGCCTATTATGCTTATTTAACCCAAACTATGATCCTTTCTTAAACCTAACCAAGTTGATTTTGTGCCTAAACCTAACCAAACTGTCACTGTTCCATTATATTAACAGCCTTTTTTTTTTTAATTGTTGTAACCATGACAGCCAAGCCTGCCACCACAGAGACAATATTTGAGGAGATGCTCCTATGGGTTGTATCAGAGGATGACAAGTAGCCTTTGTTTTGTTCTGTTCTTTTCTTTTTTTATTTGAACTGAAAATTAAAACATCTTAACAAAAGCTCCTCCTTAGGCATCTAAACTGAATGCCATAGTTTTTGAGGTTTTATTTAGAGAAAATGAAACTGAAGATGAAGGAGACTGGTGCTTCTTTTGTGCTCTACTCAGATTATGAATGGTGTCTCTGGCCGAGGCCATCTGCTCGCGGTTCATATAGCGGATGTGCCCAAGTGTATAATGCTTACATAAAAGTAGTCTTCAGGCGATTCAGTACTGTTGCCGATTTAGGATTGTGTGCTATTGAGAGATTTAGTTAAAGCAGCACCTAGCTGCTGATTTAAAAGCTTTAAAGCATGTGTAAAATTTATGTTAATAAGACAAGCACTGATTAGTGTTATGCAGACTGCTGTGCCAGTGAAGAAGAAATAAGAGAGAGGCAGAGGTGATGACAGATAAAGAGCTGATGAAGAGAGAAACAGAGGAGAAGTAGAGATGAAGGGAGAGACTGTACGTATCAGTCGGTACAGTTTGGTCAGACTTTGTGGTGCAATTTCCAGCTGGTTTGTGTGTTTGTGGATGGAGCAACCCACATTAATGATTCACAAAAGTTCCATAAACTAAAGGAAAGTACTGTGCATTTGTATGTGCAGTAAATTATGCATGTTCATAGCAGGGTCAACATGATGTAAATCTATATTTATGAGGTCGGATGAGGTGTTCTGTCATATTGTATCTTGAGCAAATACAAATATTGCTTTTAAACACAGTTATGCATACTGTATGAATAAAAGATTTGCTTATACATACTTTCAACACGATCTTTAGACTAACTAGAGCAGACTTACACTTTTTTGTGAAATTGTATTTGTATTGCTAGCGTTGTGTATTCCCTGTGTTTGTGTGTGTTTCTGGCTCTGGCAGTTTGATCAGCTTTCCGACTTCCACTGGCCCCAGGCTACAGTAGTAGCATGAAGGGCGAGTGGAGCAGAAGCAAGTGCAGAAAGAGGGAGGAGTAGTGATTTAGAACATACGGCCGAGAGCACAGAGGTGCACTTTTTGTGGCTGCAGGGGGGGGAAAAAAAGAGTAATTTTGAAATGGATTTTTAAAATTGAAATGTCAGCTTGCAAGTTTATGTTTACTTTTAGTTTAGATTTTATTGTTCATAAGACCCAGCTATATGAGGTCAGGTGGGAAAATTGTCTCAGAAGTTAAAAACTGTTTTTCTGCAACAAGAACTATGCAATACAGCCTGTCTTCAGTGCTTGAAGCTCCAATGCCCAGAGTCCTTTTTTATGTTAAAATCAGTTTCAGATACATTCAGGTTGAGTTACAGGATTTTTTAAAAGGATTTGATTGTTTTTTATTGTTTTTTTTTTAGCTGTTAATTATTTAAAATGTATGACTTTGTTCTTGTCATGTTTCTTAATTTGATGGATGTGAATAATCCTTCGGGTTGTGTTGGGGTGGCTGCCTTTTGGCCCACCGAGGCAAATCCACTGGCATGTACTCACCCACTAATTTGGTGTTAGCTACATTTCTGCTTGGTTAGTAAGCATAATGATGCGTAATGTGCCTCCGCATACACTGAATGTGCTTATGGTCATGACTGTACAGTATGTCTATGTGTGTGTGTAACGATGTGGATGTGTAGAGTGCTCTGCAACTACTCCTATGGTGGAGAGGTGGGAGATTTATGGAGATTTTTGCCTAATGAGCAAATATCGCTTGCATTGTTAGCATTAGTTCAACAATCTAGGAGTTAGCTTAACTAAGGCCTGACCGCTTTTAAGGGTCAGCATCCACCCACATGTGCATATACTGTATACACACATATGCCATTACATTTCTATACAGTAGGCGATGAGGTTCTTGATATTGAGATTTATCACTATTATATGGTTTGTAATGCCACACATCAGCAATCAGTTATGAAAGGAGGGTTTACTTTTAAAATGAATTTTTAATGGGTAGAGGGGAAACTGTTTTTAATGGGCATGTGGAAAGCCTCTCAACCATATGTTGCTAAGTGTACATTTTGACTATGCCACAAAGTTAATATTAATGCAACCCAAAGTGCAGCAGCCCACCTTTGTTATAATGTCCTTGGATCACGGGCAATAGATATCTGAAAGAGCTGAGTGCAACATATCTATTCCTTGGAATTATTTGATGCAGATGTGTTGACACTACAGTAGTTTGGCCTTCCTATACTAACAGCCTGGTCATGGTTTTGAATAAATTACTTCTTTTATGTTTTATTCCCCAAAGCCCAAAAACAATAAATAAGACCATGACTGTCACCACATAATCCACAGACTACAAGCAGGAGGAAAGCCCAAACTGTAGACATGCTAAATTTGCTAAGGAAAAAGTTATTATCATGGAAATTATAGAGCTCTGCCTGCAAGTGTGAACGTAGGAGGAGCATGTGTTTCTTCTTGTCATGGCTAAGCAATTCTATCATTTCTGTGGTGGTGCAAAAACAGTCTCACCAAACAGGAAAATTGACATTAAGTGCTTGTTTTTGTTACTTAAAGATTTCACTGATGTTTGTTTGTTTGTTGGTCTACTAGCTGGTGTATGCATGTGTGTGTGTGTGTGTGTGTTTCTCTGAAGAATGTCTAGAGAGTAGGTAGGTTGTGGAGAGAATCCATAATGCAGCCCTATAATTCAGAAAGAATGCTGATTCACAGGCAGAACAAAAGCAACGTTTGCTTTAGCACTCTGCACGGTTGTATGAGTGCTGGTTTTGCAGATCAGCCTGTCTGCTTTGCTTGCAAGTGTAGGTTGTATTTTTCAAGATATTTTTGTCAGTCCATATTCCCATGTGTCCCTACAGGTTTATGTAAGCATTTGTTTATAGAGAGGCATGCATGCACGGTATTATTATCAGGTGTATATATATATATATGTGTGTGTGTGTGTGTGTGTGTGTGGCATAGCTGTTGGTGGGCAGTGAGAGCAGCACCAGGTGCAGCTCAGCTTTGTATGGGCGAAGCTGAGAACCCTTATGGAAACACAACTAGAGAGAGAAGAACAGAGATCCTTGCATTGTGTGTGAGAGAGAAAGTGAGAGAGAAGGGAGGGAGGTAAAGCTGGATACTGATACAGAAAAACAGAGAGGAAAAAAGCCCCCACCTGTTTTCCCATAAGCTGCTGTCACTCTTCTCTCCACTATCGCCACTTCCACCCTGGTCAGTTTTTTTGTTCTTACTTGAAGAGGAGAGGCCAGGGTATGATAAGAAACCAGGGGAAGAAGCTGGGCAACCGATGAGATGGAGAAGGTGAGAAGAGAAGAGAGGATAGTAAGATAACCATGTTGACACTGCAGACAAGTGAAATTATTAACACCAGACTGAAGAGAGAAAGGGTGGAGAGGGGAGGAAAGGAGACAGCGAAGTGAATGGTCAGAACTATTTTTAAATGTCTGATGTATGAGCATGGTTAACTGCTTCGACTCAGTAATTGTCAGGGCTCCATGAATAATTTGGTTTCGAGAATGACTGAGCTGTGAAGAGAAGAGCAGAGCAGGTGATGGACAGGTGAGTGAGGAGGATGAACTGTGAAATGTAAAGATGTATTACTGTACTTCCTATCAATGTGGACTCGGGCAGTAATTTGGACCGGCACTCAAGCCAAAATGTAGGGCAAGTTATTATCATTTTCACTGGTCATTACACCAAATTATTTTTTATTAGAAGAAAAGATGTCACAGGATTTGCACAGAGACAGATTGACAGATTTAATATTTTTGCTAGCATCAGTTTTTTCAGCGTGAAAAGAAATGGAGGCAGACAAATACAGTAGATGGGAAAGAGGAGGAGGAGTGGAGAGAGAGATGCACTGGCAGATGGAGGCACTTTCAGTTACCCCAGAGGCAAAAAAAAACAAAAAAAACACCGCACCCCACCTCTGCCTCAGCCAGCTCATTGTTTTATTGTATCTTGAAAGCAACAAAGAAGGTGGTGTCCCTGTTTCTGACCAGAGGCTCTTTATTCACACTACTCTTTCTCACCATATCGTGCCCTCCATCTCTTGGAGCAGCAGTTGCAGCAGTTGATGGATGGTTCGGGTCGGCAGGGTTGACAGGTAGGTTGATGTAAGAGACAGAGAAATGGAAAGACGTGGGCACATGTGTGTGAGTGTGCTCGTGAAAGTAAGATGGGGAGGAAGAGAGGTGGCTACCTTCATCCACTCCTTCACCCTACTTGTTTTTCCTTTTTCTGTCGTCCATGCCCTCTGCCTTTGCCCTTCTGAAATCATCAGCTGACACTTTGACCCTATCTATATTTCTCATTTTTCTCCCCCTCTTTTGTATCATGTCATGGTGTTGGGGGGGGTTGCGGAGCAAAAGTAGCTTTGAAGCTAGAAAAGCTGTCCTGAGACCAGGAGGGAGGAGTAAAACATCTTAGACCTGGCAGGGAAAACATGAGCAGGTAATGTGAATAAGAAACATTTTATAGAGTTACTAATTCCACATCATATTCATGGCGGAACAGTAAATACAGAGATACATTCAGGAGATGGTCAAACTTTTCTTTAGAAATATTTGGAGGTGTACATTAAAGAAAACATTATGAAGATACTATATTTATTCCCTCCATAAATAGATTCCATTTTCTCTTGTAGCTTGTGTCATCATCACAAATCCACCATTTACAAAGCTGCAGTGCCTTTTTCCCACAGTAACCTGTCCGGTAGGGCTCAACATTCGTTTAAATGCTAGTTAGCTAATCACATTAGAGCACCTTACTTTCAAGAAATATATTCATCTTTTAAATTACTCCTAACACTCCTTGCTTTACTTTACACAATTAACCCTTTGACACATATAATCTCATGCATGAGATGTAAGCGATCCACAGTTTTACATGCAACGCTGAAGAGCTTATGATAGAGTGTTTATGTTGCAGTGATCTTTCGTGAGTCAAACTCGGAGCAGAAGATTATCGATTGCCTCCAGGGACACTTAAGCCTGTGTTCTGTGCCTGAAAGATAATTTGATAGAGTAGCCCCTAACATCTGTATTTCAGGCCTTTTTTCATCAGCTTGCTCTATCATATCTGAGCCCATGCTATCACTGTTTACATATTGCCTGTGTCAGTGAGAGTAGAAAGGGCACAAGTTGCGGGACAAACAATTACCTTCTGTATTTTCTGCATTTGGACCCCTAACTGGATGAATAAATTCTCAAGCATGCATGAGTAAACAGAGCCAGGGTCTTTTAGAGTTTGGAGAGGACTGGCGCTGAGTCTGTGGCCAGAAGCTGTAGACTATGTGTGTCAGGAAGAGGGAACTAATACAAACCGTGCACCAGTGGATCACGGAACAAGACAGAAGGTCTGGGAAAAAAACATGTATTTATTTTTGTATTTGTGATTTACATATGTATGAAAAGAAAAAAACATACAATTAAGCAGCACAATTTCTTTCACACATCATGTGTCTCCCAATAAAATTCAGTTCAAAGATTTATTAACATTATTACATAATATTTCCAAAGTCTGAAGATACAGTTTTTTCTAGAATACTATGAATGCCTTGGTGATTGGATATGGGTGGTTCTCAGGTTTCAACAAAGAACTGATTTGGAATCTTTAAGTTTTCTTTCTTTCTTTTTTGTAAACCATTCTCTTCATTTTGTTTGAGGGAATATAAATGGTCAGTGGTAGAAGAAGTACTTATTTACTTAAGTAAAAGAAGCAATACCAGAGTGTAAAAATACTCTGTTACAAGTCCTGCATTCAAAATGTTACTTAAGTGAAAGTACAAATGTATTATCATCAATATATACTTAAAGTACTAAAAGTAAAAGTTCTCTTTGTACAGAATGGCACAGTCCACATAAATGATGTATATCATATTATTGGATTATATTTATTGATGCATTATTTTGAGTATCACATTATTGCAGCCGGTAATGGTAGAGCTCATTTTAACTACCTTATAATTTAAAGTACTTTAGCACTGCTGTGTGGCTTGTCAACTTCCCACTAGGAGTCAATAGTCTTATCATTATACTCTATTTTGTTTTATTAATCTAATCCTGAAAAGGAATTAATAATTCAAGTTATTTTAATGCATGTATTGAGAACACAGTACAGGTTGGTACAGTACTTCAGTAAATGTACTTAGTTATTTTCTACCTCTGACAAAATAAAGTAACACAGAGCACCATTCAGGTACCAGCGTTATTATTTTGCCAGTTTTCAAATGATATTGAGCTTCGACATCTAACACCCAGTTTCATATCATCGCATTTTTATTTCTTCTAAAGTTTCATCTTTGGCCTCATCTATTCATATTTTCAAATAAACTGAACTTTAAAATGCCCTCTTCTCTTTTTGAAACGTTCAAAGGTGTGGCATTTTATTTTGGCAGCTGACTCAACTAAAGACAAAGAAAAGTCACTGTTAGAGGGTTAGGGTGAAGGATGACAGACACTCAATGTGTGTCTGTGTGTGTTCTCATGTGTGTGTCGATGTCAGGGGTCTGCGATTAGGATGGTCTTGTGGACATCAGTAAAGTCTGACATGGCAAAGGGCTGAGCTTGCACTGCTTTATTTATCACCCCAAAGTGAACGTGTTTGTGTCTGTGTGTTCGCATATTTGGTTTTACTACATGCGGAGCTGTGGATGAGTGTGTCCACACATGCACACCTGTGTTTAGGACTCTGGACTTTGTTCAAGTTCCTTCTTTTTTCCCCTTCTCTTTTTATACATGATATTTATACCACAAGGACAGTGATGATGTCAAGAACAGAATTTTGATGAAGTCTGTGTATATTTGGCTTTGTGTGTGCGTGTGTGTGTGAGTGTGTGTTTGTGTATTTATAACACTGGGACAGTGATGCGGAGAGGAGCTGCATACTGATTAAGTGAAGTTGAAGAGAGGGCCTCTGTGTTGGCAGACAGAGCCACACAGCAACAACAAGTCATTCACCTAATTTAGGACACACACACACAAACAGACATGTTTCACTCCAAAATATTTATGATAACTATGCCTGAAGAAGCTGTGCCACAAGATGTTTTTTGCAAAGAATATTTTTGTCTTCAGCTGCAGGGCCGCACTGAATGTCATTTAACTTTCACTGGAGACTAATACATTTCTCTAATTATCACTACTCCCACAGAAATAGAGGTACGTCATAGAGATATGCCGTATCTCTTCATGGCCTCTGAATCAGCAGAGAGGTCATTAGTGATGGAGGAAGAAAGGAGGAGAAAAGAGCAGAATGAAGGAGGGATAATGGATACAGAGAGCAGAGTGAGACAGAGCGTGAGAGGTAGGACAGGAAAGATCAATACAGTCTGTACTTTGAGAGCTGAGAATTTGCATATCATGGAACAGGGCGAGAGGAAAGTAGGTGTAGAAAAACAGAAAAACACATGCGGGAAGTGTTCATGTTTTCTTTTTTGTGTTCAGACTGGAGGGAGGGCGAGATAGGAAGAGCAGGTGAGAGCAGATTCGGCGACGTCAAAGACGAGGAGTCTCTTTACGCCATTTTCAGCAAGAGGAAGAAGTATGCAACAAGGGCATTTCTGGTTGAATGATAATGGAAGATACAGAGAGAAAAGCTGAGAAAGAAAGAGAGTCACGCTGCTGAAGGCGAGAGAATGACAGACGGAAGAAGGATTGAGGATTTCTCAGAGATAAGCACACTGTTTTCTTTCTACCCTGCTAACCTCTCACTCACAGAGGCGGCGTGCGCAAGTGTGCACACACACATAACCAACACTATTCTATTGCAGCAAGCGCTTGGCACCTGACAAAAGTTCAACCGCTCATAGTTGCCATGGCAACGAGGAGATTCGTTGTTGCTACCCGTACAGCCTCCCAGCTTGATGAGGGAGTGAGAAACGAGACAAAGAGAGAGAGAGAGAGAGAGAGAGAGAGAGAGAGAGAGAGAGAGAGAGAGAGAGAGATAAAACAGCCAAGTGAACTTTAAATGAGGACGTTAATTTGATTAGAACACTGAGTAAATTTTAATCTCACGGTACAACAAATCCATATTTATTGGTGCTTTTATTTAGTGTTTGACCAACATGTTTTTATTACAACATCAAGTATTGCAGTTTTTGTCAGAAACATTTATTATTTATTGGACTTTGCTGTGGTGCAATGTAATCAAAAATCCTACAGCGCTATGGAAATCCTTCCTCTGTCTGATGAAAATAAGCCATAACTAACTGTCTTTACACTTAAAAAGCAGATATCCCCAATACATCCACATTCAATCAATCATACTTTGACAAAAAAATAGGCGGTGTATGTGTAGACTGCAGTCAAAACAGATCAGTTAACAGATGCAACCCCTGTAAAACACAGAAAACCAGAAAGATAATGCCTAAGCTACTTGTCTAAAAGGTTCAGCTACTGTAGTTTCTTCATGTTGTTTTTCTCTTATCATCCCTTCTTTGAGTTAGCTTGACAGCTAGAGACATGAGTGAGTAGAGTTCATGTTTTTATAGGGCCCCAGCATCAAGTTCTAACAATTTCACAATGCTGTCTAACAACAAAAACAGCTCCCACAGACAGATGGTATTACATGCTTACATTTCTACGTACAAAAAAAAAAACCACATGCTGTTGTATTACACATAAAGGAAGATCAGTTAAACATAATGAGAAGGGTCAGCTACATACACTGTGCAGGGCAGAGGTTTACCAATGCAGCAGCTGAACCTGGGCTCAGCTGGTGACTGCTGGCTTCTCTAAACAGCTTGCCAACCCGTCACACTGCTAAATGGAAGCACAGTAATCATATCACATATGCTCAACACCAGTCGGACAGAACTGATGAAGCCTCTTGGAGGAGAGGTGAAACGTCTTCTACCTAAAACCAAGTCCAGATGATTTTTTTCTGTTTTTTCAGAATCCAGTT